CTCATCCTTTGTTTGCTGTGGATTTTCTACCCTCCCCCATTCTGTTTCCCTCCCTCTCTCGCTCTCTCTCTCTCTCTCTCTCTCTCCCTAAGTGTCTCTTCCCTCTCCTTTTTCTAACTGTTCTCCTGATTTTCTGACCACACCTCCCCCCACTGACTCCCCTCACACACACACCGCCCAGTCGACGAGTGCGGCTCTGCGAGGCTCTCGCCGAACTGCGAGATGGCAGTGCCTTCACCAGGTACGCCTTGCGTCACCTACATCCTGCCGGTCATCGATCGCCAGGCCATGGGCTGGGTGGTTCCCCTCCGGGTTGTGGAATTTGAGAAGGCAGACGTGATGTCATGGGGCGCCATCCCTCGATTAGCCTCCGCTAATTCTTCTGCCCTCCTATTGGCAGCCGTGCCATGTAGGGTTGTCATTTGGCCTGGTATCACTGCTGACATCCCCGGCCGGACACAACAAAGCCGAACATCTTCCTCAAATGGGGAGTGGGGTTGGCAGGGGTATGATATCAACAAGGACGTAATGATCCCTCATCTAATGTGCGTCCCGTTGTTTTGCTTTGAAATATGTCATTAATAAGACATCCAATATCTCCCAAGTTATGCTGTGGGGGCATTTAATTGCACAGTATCTGTACCCTGTATGTATATCAGAAGGAAACTCAGCACTTCAGTGACGCCACATACAGCTTGTATTCAAAAATAGACAAGTGCGTGTGCGTTTGAGTGCTTCAACTTTCGGGAGGTGAAATGCAGCTTCAGCACTAGCATTTTCCCAAATATCTGATGTATAGCTGTCTTCACTTGCCACTGTAATGTTTATTGTACTGGGGGAAAACAGTGAACCTGTGAAAGAGAGGAGGCAGTGTCGCAAGAAGGATCTGCTAAAAATACTACTGGGGATCTCAGATATAAATCCATCTTTGCCTCTTGGTGCTATATTTAGGGCTGCAGTTTATCATTTTTAGTTACAACATCGTGAGGTTTATCTGCTGCAACAAGTAGTGAGTATCATCCGAGCTTCTCCCCAGACATGCTCCGAAGTGTCCCAAATGACATTAGATTAAGTTTTAGTTAGAAGTTCACCTGATGTAGTCCAAGTTAGGACCGTAGCTGGTGGAGAGCTTCTCACTCTTGTTTCTGCTCATTAGGTGAGGAAATGTACACCCCGTGCCCTGCATATTTCAGTCCCCTTTTTAATAATAAATGATGTTGCATTGGTTTAAGCTGTCAGTGTTTTGTGTCTGAATTGTTGACCTTTTTTTTTTCTTTTCTTTTTTTTCTTTTTTTGGTTGGACAGCTCTGTGTAGTAGTGGGTCCAGATCATGCATGAGCTGCTGTGCATGTTTTCGTGTTCTATGGCCAGTTCCTGCCTCGATGATCTCTGATGTACTTTCCAGGTTAGAGCAGTGTTAGGAACTCAACGGACAGTTAGCTGAACCCTTTGGGTTATAAGATCAAACAATTACTGTAGCATCACGTATATCTGTTGTCTTGCCATTAGAAACAAAGTAGTTGAAGTAGTATTTGTATTTGAATGTCACCCATCTGGACATCAGGGCATGTATTATGTATAATTTATTATAATTATAAATAATTGTAGATGAGGTGTAAAGGCCAGAACCTGCTCTGCAGGGCTGCTGATCTGTGGCAAGGCCTGTCGTTGGTGATTCTTACTGCAGTGACTTCATCAAGACTATGACTTACGTTCACAAAAAAAAGCCAGCGACCTTTAGCTTCTAATTGCATTTTCAACTAGGGTAAAGTTTCAGAACTGTTATGTGTGGGCGCTCAGAGAGAAATTTTGGGGCTAAATGTTCTGAAATCGAATGGCTGAAAATGTAGAAGTGGTTTTGTTTTGGCTGTGTATCAAAGGCGAGGTATCACTGTCCTCTGGATGAACAAGCGGTCAAATGGTTTGCTGCTGGACTGTAGCGCCTTAAGGGGTGTTAGCTAAAGAGTTAGTTAGTCAACCAGGTCACAATCAAAAGGAACGATTATGATCATTTTTACATACATTTATATGCCTGGTCCCTCAGTTGCGTTGTGCATATGACCCTGATGATTGATTATACCCTGATTATAAGTTTTTACTTTTGCTTCATACAATCTCCATTTGGGGCTTGTTGCCACATTCACTGTTTCCTGTTTTTCATGTATTTGTTGCTGCCAAGTGAGTGGATTAAGTTTCACTGTTTATCTTCTCATCAACTAGAGTTTGTTTTTCATTAAAACATGAAAATATGGCTTAAACACCATTTTATATTAATCATATTGTTTATTGTACCATAAATTGTGAACAGCAGTAGAAATGTTACATGTAATAATGCATTGACGTATTTTGTATTTTTACATTTTATATTACCTTAAATATATGGTTGAATCAGACTAGATTTCTTCAAGACATATTCAGAACTTACTGGCTGTATGAAAAAAGAGCAACGGTGTCAGGAAGCGAAAACTTGTGCGTATTTTACTCAAAATAATTCCTGAATCAGGAACTGACAGAAATGTTCATTTGCAGTTTGCATGCTTATAGTGTATAGCAGCTGTCTGTTGATGTGCATTAAAATTCATTTGTTCATTCATTCATTCATTCATGATTCCTATTATTAACAATGGAAACATCACACAAAATGTATAAAAATCTATTAACTTAAGCAGCGATGTTCCACATGTCTTTGCACAAGTGATTGGGGGCTGTTCCACAAAGCAAGATTTCTCAGCTTGCAAGGTTAACTTAAGCTTCAAGTCATGACTGTCCAATAGGAATGCTCTTTACTTACACTCTTATTGGACAATCATGACATCTAGAAATCTAAGAAACTGAAACTGAGAAATCTTGCTTTGTGGAACACCTCCCTGGTCTGATCCTCCAGCTAACATTAATTTGAATTTTTATGATGTTTGACTAGTGATAAGATAAGCTGAAATGGAGAAGGATAATTGTATGTAAAAAAAGAAAAATACCTGGAAACATTTTACTTGATAAAAACAACTAATAAGTCATTCCTACGTTTATGTTTATATTTTATCATCAGTGAGTGCTGCAGAAGTATTCTTGCATGATATATGTACAATATTAGATTACAAACAGCTGAATAAATTTTGGATGTAAATAATTGCTTGTTTTGTTTTGTGTTCTTCGTGTTTTCATAACATGTCATTCCCTGCACTATTTACTATTTGTTACTAGGCTAATGGATAGTCCACATGTTTCTGAATCATATAAAGCTGGCAGGCTTCAGAGGAAGGGAGATGAACTGGTCCTTGAACTTCTCGTTTTTTCCCCTTATAAACCATTAGAGTTCTTTTTCTTTTCTCTCGTCTCTTCTTGCCTGGTATAGCATCAACTCCTCTTGCATAACATTTGGAACAGCCTTTTGAGAAGGGTGTCATGTAGAAATGCAATGAATTAACCTATAGCTGGCCTTTTATCTATGGACTAAATATGCCTTTTATCATGATTTAGCTAAAAGCTTGGGATCCTTTAAAATCGGAGCTAGATAAGATAATAACAACTTTAAACCATTGGTTGAATTCTCCCCAAACAAACCTGATGGGCCGAATGGCCTCCTCTTCTTTGTAAATTTCTGATGTTCTTATATCTGAAGCTGACTGGTTAATATTGGTGTTTGGAAAACAGGTGTAACAAATCCCCTGTAATGCTAGTATAACCAACTGGTAGCTACAGCTCAAATCACCTAGCCAGCTTGGAAACAGCTTGATGAAACAGCTTATTACGACTAATGTACTTTGAATATTCTGCGTAAGGTATCATGCTCAAAATGAAGAATGGGGCGCCTGCTTTGCATAATGTTGCATAAAGCACATTTACATAACTAGCCACTGTTAGATTGGCTGAAATCTTACTTGGTTTTAACTCTCCATCATGAAACCATGCTGAAGTAGATTTAGCATCGTCGGCTTCAGCCAAAGACCCGTATTCTGTGAGTTTAATCCATTTACTAAAGACTAAATCCATGGCAGTGGTGAGCATGTCGTATTGTAATCCCAACAGCATATATGACAATCATGCAAGCTAATGATGTTGATGGCACTCAGACCTAGAACTTTAACCAGATTAGTGTTTTGTTATTTTGCACTAAGTTGTGCAGCAAAGACTGAACTCTGAATTTTAATTCTAGCAACATGAATAGTATTCCATTGAGCTCAGCCCTTAAAAAAATTGTTTTGTAATATTAATAATATCTGAATGATTTATTGAATTATAAACAGATCTGCATTAGCGGGATGTTCCAAATGGCTACTTGATTGTGCCATCAAAGCACATTAAATACCTCAGAATTTTTGGAACAGCGGAAATACCAGCCCCTTGTAGCCACTAGAGTTAAAATGCCTGCCTTTCAACGCTGCTCTCTGGATTTTTTCGTTAATGTCGGCAAAAGGGTAATTTTTCTTCCTAAAGGTCATCCTAATCATGTACTAATGAAGAAGATCTTTAGTGTATAATTTAGAGTGTAATGCCCTGTTTTTTTTAATTTAGCATTGGAAGTATAAACATAATCATTTTAGTCTTAGTAATATTTTGCTGAATAGTTGAAGACGTCAATATTTGATAGCCTGACCTCGCACACTTGTCACACGTGGGGAAAAGTGTTTTTCTTGTCATCCGAACAGGTTGCATGGCCTGAATGAGTTCAGGCCGTGGATTCTGCTTTGTGCCACACAGATGCACGATTGTTCGCCTGAAAGCTCGGGTGCATTACCTAAACTGATTAGGCTGAGATGCAGAGCGCTGTATATGAGACCTCTGACTCAGAAGCGTCTCTCCTTCCACTGTAAAGAGGAAAGACCCCTTGGAAGGGGAGAGGCCTTGTTATATATAATCAGGAGCTTTTTTCTACCCAGCTGCTCCAGATTTAGCCTGGGTGACTGTCTTGCACCCTCCGAAGCATCCGTAGGTGTGCTCTGGCCCGTCACTGAGACAGCACCCCCTCAAAGCCGGGAAACTTTGCTTCCCTTCCTCCGCAGACATGGCTGAAGAACTACGGGTACCTGCTCCCCCACGACATCCGGACGTCGGACCTGCGCTCGGAGAAGGCCATACAGTCAGCCGTCGCTGCCATGCAGCGTTTCTACGGGATCCCAGTAACCGGAGTGCTGGACCAAACCACCATCGAGTGAGTGGCACCGGATCTGCTTTTTTCTTTTTTCTTTTTTTGTAACGGCGTGCTGCTGTCATCTTGCTGCACAGATAATGCGGGGGCGAACTAGGCTAGTAAATTAGGGTGCAGCATCCTTATTTCCAGAGAACGCTGGGAACACCCACCATCTAGTCAGCAACAATTTACCTTGCTTGAACTGGGACTGTTTTCCATTGATATGGAATTGATTAGGAGTCAACAGTCCTTTAAGGATGGCTCAGTTCTCGTGCTTTTTATGCCTTTTATAATGATTGGGCCCGGACGGTGTGGCATTTTATGGTATTTATACCAGGAAGTCACTTTAATTTTACTTGAAGGATTTATTTTTAGTAAATAGCAAAAGAGATTTGTAAAGATACCACAATTCTGCTTCACTGACACATTTAATGCAGTGAATAATAAGCATTCTTTCGTTAAACGCCACAAGAACATCATCTGCTATGTTTCAGGCTAACAAGCTGAACTGCAGCTGAGGAACGCATTACAGTTTAGAGAAACCCATTAGGGGTTAAGTATCATGATAAAATGGGGGCTGCCGATGTGTGTGTCCTGTCCAAAGCCCTCTGCTAAATGGGATAGCCTCGTCACTAGCTAGCATTGAATACTGTATGCAGTTACAGAAAATGGATGGATGTACAGAGGGATATGCATTATATATCACTAACCTGAAAATATCTCATGATGTAATACTTAGTCTATACTGACAAACCTGAGCAGCGATCTGAGCCAAAAGCACATCCGAAAAAGTATAATAAAGAATTCAGAGTATGTGAGTATATATCCGTAATAGCTAGTAAAGGGTAAAGGTGCTACAAAATACTGAGATGTATTGGATTAGCAGTGCTCTTGTGTAGCTTGGTGTCTGCCACCACTCTTCCTGGTGCTGGTAATCCTTCCAGAGCGGCCGGTTTGTCAAAAGGGTTTCAGTTACACCTTGTGCCTGTGTGATCCCAGGTGGATGAGGAAACCTCGATGTGGAGTCCCCGATCATCCCCGGATCAGTCGCCGTCGACGGAACAGACGCTACGCCCTAACGGGCCAGAAATGGAGGCAGAAACACATCACCTACAGGTAGGAGGCCCTTCATCTCCATGCCGCCAGCCGAGCGGTATCTGGATTGGTGATGTCATTTCCTGCTCTTTGTTCACGGAATTGGTTAGCATTAAGCTAGTTAAAGGTTAGTTTTAAAAATAGTTAGACATTTCGTTTCAGTCACTTTGGATGTTAAAACAATGCTAATGATTGTGAGGCTCATAGAAATTTTACATTAAGGGGAAAAAAGAAGTTGTTTGTGGAGTCACTTTGGAAACATTAAGATGAGTTTAAATGAAGATCCAGTCTGAATATCAGGGATTTATATTCTCTTCTGATGCGTTTTTCTGTGGTCTTTCAAACGGTTTTGCGTGAAGGGTATTACATCTGAACCAAACTTCATTTGTATCTATTTTAATGAAATGAAAAGGATCGAGCAGGAGAAAAGACTTCATTAAAACCGAAACTGTTGAATTACATCCAAACTTTTATTTTAGCGTTCATATTATTCATTTTGATTATAACTTGTACTTTCTTAAAGGCCCAGTCCCAAGAAGGTCCATTTATATTTGCACAATAGCTACGGAAGCTAACCCAATAAAAACATGAGACTCGATCGATATTATCAGGATGCTTTTTTTGAGACCTTCTCAGATGTTAGGGTCATCTCTGGATGACATGAGCATGTCTCAATTTAATGAGCCAGTGACAGGGTGGGTCAAGACTGTTGATCAAGACTGTCCGTTAACAAAGGTATAGACAATGAATATTCATGAGTGATATGGTTGTTGTTACCTGGAGGTCAGTTGAAAATGGATTTTAAACCTGAGTGTTGTTCACCTAGCACTAAATTTGGCATACCATATCTGCAAATTACTTATAAAGGAAATCTTTCAGATAAACAGCTGGGCCTAATATTAAATCTCAGTTCTCATTTTCTTCTACTGTACAGCACCAACCCATTTTGTGTTGCTTTTGTATGAAAATGGTAACAAATCTGAAAATGAATCAGCGTATTTGATTCCAAAGGCAGGTTAATGCGCTAAAATTATATCATAAATTATATGCTGCTAAACATCCTGTGTACAGACAATATGAACCGCCAAATTAAATACCTCTAACTGCATGGTGCAGACAGGGAAATGAGCAGGATTAGGAGATATTCACCGTTAAACGAGGGAGGATATTTGGATATGTGGACCTTGGACTGAATTCTCAGCCCCACAGCTGAATAGCTTAGTGCCTGATTGAAGGGAGGTAAATTACGGGAAGTAAAGAGTTCAGGTTGTTAATACAGGAACCAGCTCTCTGTTTGTCCCCCTCCTGAAGGTGTAATGAACACAGATAGCAGATATACTTTTCAAGTGTGTAATTCTGCAGTATTTAATTTGCTGCCTCTCCGTTGGTAGCGAGCTGCGTAATTACTGAGAAGGTCTGGCAGAATCCCTTGCCTTGTTGCAGCTGACATTTCGCTGGCCTTTAACATTACAGCCGGGCCACATCCTGCCTCAGACGCTGTTAGCCTGCTCTTAGGCACTTCTCTACCACTTTTTGTCAAGGTTTTGTCAACATGATTAAAATGAAACAACAACAATAATACTAATAACAAGAGTGATGTTAGCCTTGTCTTCATTAGCACGCACCTAAGGGGCTGCACGTTAAAAAAGCTATTTCTATAGGGAGCACATTTCCGCAGGCCGTGATATTTATGCTCCCCCCGTGCATTGCTGTTACTGGGCAGTAAACGGACGTAAAGACGTTCGGTTGGAGGTCCCTGCCACAGCAGTTCAGAGGCTGCGCACCATGACACCCCTCATGCTGTTTCCTATCTCCCTGCCTGCCTTTTCTTTTTTGTATATATATTAGAGCATTTAGCTTGCGTCTCGCATATTTCTGATATGGATCGCTTATGCAATTCGGTCGTTATTTGCTGAAATTTCCTCAAACAAAAAAAAATAAAAAGACGTGCTAAGCAAACAAACGTCCCTCGAAACGGCAGCAGAAGCAGCGCGACTCCACAGCCGGAGATGGATCCTGTACCTTTAAAAGTTTCTTTCAACCTGAAGCTCTATTTTTAGAGGCCTGGCTACCGAGTCTGATTTTATCTTTGAGGACTGTCAGAGCACATCGCTCCGTGCGGGTCGCTCCGTGTGGGTCGCTCCTGCGGGTTCTTCCGCTGAGACTATGTAAATCACACTGGAGCAAATCAAAACCCGAATGAAAGAAGGGCGTTTATTTTAATTTATGGACTCGGTTGCCAGCTGCTTCTCAGAATATTTATTTCAAAGCTGCTGCAAAACAGCCAGATCAGTGTGCATGTGTGTGTGTGTGGGAGGGAACTCGGGGAGCATCTAAGCATTAATAAGTGTCACACCTGTCATTTTTTGCTTCCTCCTGGCAGCATTCACAACTCCACACCTAAAGTAGGGGAGAAGGACACGCAGAAGGCCATACGGCAAGCCTTCGACGTCTGGCAGACGGTCACGCCGCTGACATTCGAGGAGATCCCCTACTCGGAAATAAAGAATGAAAGGAAAGAAGCTGACATCATGATCTTCTTTGCCTCTGGGTTCCATGGCGACAGCTCCCCCTTTGACGGAGAGGGGGGCTTCTTGGCCCATGCCTACTTTCCTGGCCCTGGAATTGGAGGGGACACGCATTTCGATTCCGATGAACCCTGGACGTTAGGCAATGCTAATCACGATGGTACGAATCTAGATTAATCGAGACGTGATTAATAGCACGACAGGCTGAATGGGAGGCCTTTTATATTTCTGTCCGGCTGTGCCGCACCAAACAACAAATTCACGAACGTACAAAACGCAGTGCAGTAAATTGACACCCTATACAGATTCATAAAGCTAATTTTGGTTTGCAAGTAACACTTATTTATCCCCATAAATTCCAATTAAGATCATATGAACCCGAGTGCTTTATGTATTTGCTATTGTGCTCCTTTTAGGATTTTTCTGTAAAACTGAGGTGTGGTGGCATGCAGATAAAGCTCTTTTCAGCTTTTGTAGAGTGGCTACCTTTCCTTCTGCAGGAGAATGACGCATGTGTTTACTGACAGCGTGCAGCGTTTGGACCAAGGTCTCTCATACAGCGCCTGGCATATGGGACGTCCTTTAAATAGACCGTGAGGTCAATAGCGGGCGATTTGCTAAAATAACAGATTTCTTGCTGTGTCCCCTGGTGTGACTCCCACTCTTCCTCCTCTGGAAAAAATGTCCTGGGGCGGGTGCGTCCAGGGTGACGGGCTGTCCCGGTCCATGGGTGAGAGTGTCACGTGAGTTATGTAAATGTGCCCTTTGGTGTTGCTGCGCAGGGAATGACCTCTTTCTGGTGGCGGTGCACGAACTGGGCCACGCCCTGGGCCTGGAGCACTCCAACGACCCCAGTGCCATCATGGCGCCATTCTACCAATACATGGAGACGCACAACTTCAAACTTCCGCTTGACGACCTTCAAGGCATCCAGAAAATATATGGTACGATTCATCTTATGCCTCTCTGCAGAGTAGTTTAGGAAAGGATATTGGCTTTGCAACCTGAAGGTTGCTGGTTCATACCCACTGGGAGCCCTGGTGTAGCGCCCGTGAATAAAGTACTTAACGTGAATTATTCCATCAAAACAATTGACTGTTTAAATGTGCCAGAAAAATACACAATAATAAGAATAGATGAAATGTTGTCTTACAAATGTCAGCCAAAAAACTAAATATGTACAGCTAGAATTAAATGTGTAAAGATGTGCTTGTTGATGATTACATACTTGTGTCTGATAGCAAGTGTTAGCTAAAACAGTACCTGTGAAGAATGTGATCTAATACCAGTTTGAGATGTACAGTGAATAGCGGCGGGATTTTTTAATGACGGTAAAATCTGTGCAAAATGGCAGGCATCCCCACTGCCATGGTGGAGCCAACCCGACCACTGCCCACTTTACCGTCCCGCCGTACCCACTCCACCTCGGAGCGAAAACACGACCGGCAGTCACGGCCGCCACGTCCGCCTTCCGGCGACAGACCCTCTTCCCCCGGGAGTGGGAAGCCCAACATCTGCGACGGCAACTTCAACACCGTGGCCTTCTTCAGGAGGGAGATGTTTGTTTTCAAGGTGGGAGTCGTTTTCTCCCTCCCAGTCCGTCACCCGATCCCCGTCAGCCGGTTTGATTACAAACACTGGGCTCGGTCGAGCCCCAGAAGGCAGAAGATGCATGCCAAGATGGAGGACAACTTGATGTTTAGCGTTAATCAATGTATTCATAAATGCTTAATGCGTCTGCTTGGGACAGGAGGAGGTGTTGTGCATCTGGTTTTATCTTTTAACTTAAAATCATTCTCTCTAGTATCAAGACAGTTGCTAATGGTGAGTGTTGTGCCTATTGAGTTGTGCCCATGTATATTTTCATAGGGCTCAGGCCTCGCCATAAGCCTGAGTTCTATGATCCACTTCCTTCAGGCAGATAAATAATGCATTTCTGTGTCAGGTTTCTTAATTCACTACTGTTTCCCACATGCGGGTCAGTATCGACAATACACCGTTTTTTTTCCCCAACGTCTCAATAAATGCTCCTCAAGTTACTGCCATTTATCGCCAATATATATATATATATATATTGTTCTTTTGAAATAATGACTAGAAATAATGACTAAGGTTGTTTTGGGAGAGATCGGTTGCGCATTTGGTGTACGTCTGCTTTGCAGTCAGCAGGGAGTTTGCTTGGACGTCACCAAGTTCCGCCGCAGCCAGATGATAATGAGCCGTGATTGATCTGCCTGTTTTGTTTTTTTTTTTGTTTTGTTTTTGTTTTGTTTTTTTCCGCCATTACAGGATCGCTGGTTCTGGCGACTGCGCAACAACAAGGTGCAGGAGGGCTACCCAATGCAGATCGAGCAGTTCTGGAAGGGCCTCCCCGCCCGTATCGATGCCGCTTACGAGAGGTCAGACGGGAAGTTTGTCTTCTTCAAAGGTATTCGCCCTTTCCAATCTCAGAAGCATTTCACACTAGCGAATAAAACTGAAATAGTGAGCCCTTGTTTCGGATTGGAAGGAGAATTCCCGATCATGTTTGTTCCCGCGCCTCGGCCTCCTCGGGCCCAGAGGGCCGCATACCCGAAGCTGCCGCAGCTTTTCCTGAGGCTTCCAGCACATGAGTCACACTCTCACACTTGTGTCACACTCTCAGCACGTGGCTCGGCGACATCGATGGTGCCGCAATATGTTTTAACCGTCCGCATACAAACACGGGCACGGCAGAGAGAGGTGTGCGTCACGGTGGATCGTCAGCAGCACCACTGACAGGGACCAGGGGGAACCGGCCTCGTCAGTTGTGGAAGCTAATGGAAGACTTGGTGTGGCAACCAGAAGCTCCGGAAGAAGCGAGACAGTCAGCAAAGCCTAAAGAGAACAAGTTTATCTCAGTTCTCTTCCTCATCTGCTCCCGATGACAACTGTGTGTTCGGGGTGACTCCGCACTGTCACCTTATCAGTAATCAGTTGTGCTTTTCAACCATACTGAAAATCCATTGCATTCATGGTTTCCTTGAATTTCTCATGGTTTTTCCACTTAATTAGCTCATGGGAGTTTTACTTGTAGAAAAATGTTCTGAGGGCAAAAGGAAAAATGATTGGTTCAGAGAGATAACCAATCAGATTGTAGATGAGGTGGGTCCAAGCAACTGGAAGAGGCGGGACCAAGACATTTGATTGGTCCTCTACAATCTGATTGGTTATCTCTCTGAGCCAATCATTTTTCCTTCAGCCTTCAGAACATTTTTGTGTAAGTAGAATTCCCATGAACACTTTAATAATCTACAGGCACCTGTATTGGGGTGCAAAGTCCTGTCTCTCGTAAAACAATCTGACTGTTCGCAACCAGGCCCAAACGAATGTTTAAAACATATTCTTTTAGTCATCTCCAGGAGTGACACTGCTTCATCTCGTTGCCTAGTGACGTGTGTCGTTCCTCGCCAGGTGATAAATACTGGGTGTTCAAAGAGGTGACAGCAGAACCGGGGTACCCGCACAGCCTGGTGGAACTGGGTAACTGCCTGCCACGTGAAGGCATTGACACCGCCCTGCGCTGGGAACCCGTGGGGAAAACGTACTTCTTTAAGGGAGACCTGTACTGGCGCTACAATGAGGAGAAGCGGACAGCTGATCCCGGGTACCCTAAACCCATCACCATCTGGAAGGGCATCCCCGAATCACCCCAAGGAGCTTTTGTCAGCAGGGAAGGCTGTAAGTATTCAGTCATGTGACAAGGGCATCGGGAATGAATCTACCTCTGCACCAGTCTCAAAACACACAGAGCCCCAATGGGTTCTTTAATAGAAATAGCTTCTTTTCCATTTGCACACGATAATTGGCATGGGGTTTCTGTCTCATTGGATGTTGGAAGTGAGTACCTGTGTTGGAATTGCTTGACTGTCGCGCAGCCTCCCGTACGTTGGATGGAGGACCCCAAGAGGGTCTCTGAGTCACTTTGCAACCTCATATGCGACGTGGCATAGGATATAATGACATGGCTGCAAAGAGCTGCTTCAGCACCTCATGGCTTTCAGCTTCACAGCAGCTCTGTGCCATTCATTTACAGAACGAGGCTTCACGAAATCTTGGGTCCTCTGCACCAAGAATCCAAAGAATGGTCTCTTTGTCCACTTGCTTAATTCAGTCTTTTTTTCCCTATTTCCATTTCAGTCTACACCTATTTCTACAAGGGCAAGGATTATTGGAAGTTTGACAACCAGAAGCTGACGGTGGAGCCCGGATATCCCAAATCCATCCTCAAGGACTGGATGGGCTGCGACCAGTCCGAGGTGGAGAAGAACAAGGACCGGCAGCTGAGCCACGACGACGTGGACATCATGGTTGCCATCAATGACGTGCCCAGCACGGTCAATGCCATCGCCGTGGTCATCCCCTGCATCCTGTCGCTGTGCATCTTGGTCCTGGTCTACACCATCTTCCAGTTCAAAAACAAAGGAGTGCAGCAAAACGTCACCTACTACAAACACCCGGTGCAGGAGTGGGTATGACGGCCAGGGGTGTGGACTTCGCCACTTCCGGATATTGTTGAGAGGGCTACAAGGAAAATTAACAAAAACAAATCGAGACGACTGAGGAGCACCGTGTGGGAAGTGCCTGCCTTGAACAACCAATGGTGAAATGGGGAGGTGGGGGCCAGGGTGCTGTCCACATCCTGCCTCCGCAAGGACCCAGTGATCATCGAGTCCCGCGTACCGTATTTAGCATGAACCGAAGCACAAATGGCTGAGAGGCCGCTGACTCGAGGGGGGCTCGTGACCTCCTCCACCTCCGGCCAAACGAGCCGCGTGTCCACTCTTCTCCACACCCACACTGTACGTCTGTGGGACTCCTGACTGGCCCTTGCGTTCTGAGGGCCACGGAGCCCAGTGTGAGCGCTCTGAGCGGGGCGTCTCTTTCTGTAATATCGACTTGTACATGAAATCAAAATTATATCAAGTAAAACAATTAGAGGTGAAAAAAATGACAAAATTATGACAAAACAACAAAATGTAGGTAGAAAGGCCATAGAAAATAAAACCAAGGATTTTTTTGCTTAATCTTTTAATTTATGGAGCGTCCTTAAATGATCAAAGGACGTACGTTTTTTGTGTGTATACAAAAACCTTTTTTCACTCCCTGACTTGGCACATTCAGGCTTTAGTGATGAACGCTGGGCTTTAAGAAGTCCTCCATCAATAGCTGACATACAGCGATCCCAGTGCAAACTGGCTATTTTCAGGACCGAGTAGATGTGGATCAAGCAGGGGGGAAGTGTTCTGCATTTCAGGAGGTCGATAGAGTTAACGCTGTATCACTTGCTTGAGTCCGGTTGGCTTTTCAGAATTCGGTCCATGACGCCACATAAACCAAAAAGCACATGGCTGACCTGAAGTCATCCATGTCTGTCACGGGGTAATGATGATAACAGTAAGGCCAGAATTAACTGCTGTGTTGAAGCAGCCTTAGTCTCACTTTAACTCCTTGCAGTGACTGACTTTCTCTATCTGTCCGTTGATATTATAGATCCATACACATCCCTGCATATCACCCTCGATGCCGTCATCGTTGTAATTGTGTCACGATTCTCCCCAACAACGGGACTCCTGAAAGTGTGTTAGCAAGTGGGGTTTTTTAAGAGGACTACGATAAATGTTTGAGAGTAAGGCTGCTTCTGTGCTCCTGTCCAGCTATTTGGGTCTGTAGGACCAGGCATATTAATGAAGGTGAATAAATGTTTGCACCCTCAAAAATAGGAAGTATTGATGCATTATACATAATGCTGTAATTCAGTCCCATGAATTGTTTTCATTCATTGCCTTTGCTACCATAATTGTTTTATAAAAATGCATTTTGTGACATCGGTCAAGGCAGAAATGGAACAGATTTTGCGAGGATATCGTTTTTTTTTCTCTGGTCAGATAACTTTAACCCCAATGGGGTCTGTTCCAATGAGAGCCGTTTCCTTTCTCGTGGTCTCATGGCCCGAACCACACAAGTTGAGACGAGCTCACAGATGACCACCGTTAGATGTCAAACAATCAAAGCCATTTGCCTTGACGTGACGGGATTAGCATTAATCTTCTCTTTTTGTCTTACTGCGTACCTGTTGCACTGTTGGGGTTTAAGATGAAATTGTTTTAATACAAATTGTTAAGTCGATATTGACGCAAATCTTGTTTATGTCAATATTTCATCCAGGAAGAGAGAGAAGAATGTTTTGGGACAAGTTCTATGACATGCTCCTAATGCTACTTGCAGTATGCAGGCAAAATTTCTTAGCTACATAAAACATTTGTGGGCAGTTGAATGACAAATCTGGAGATTTTTCTCAGTCACATATTTTTGGTCAATACTCATAAGCATATAGATACTGATTCATCAAGGCAGGAAAATGCATTTATTACTGCATCCGTTTTTACTCTGCAGTAGGTTAATTTCAAAGCCTCCCTTCACTGCAGTATTGGTTTGGTTTACTTTAAACAAGTTTATACAAACATATGACGATTAATATTGATGAATTTGAATTAAATAAACGGCTGAAATGTATGTACTGTACAGAGCTTGCAGTGTATCCGACATATTTACTTTACTACGAGATTCGACTGTTAGACATAGCCAGAGATGCGGGATGGGATTTTCCATGAGATGGTTATCTGGATTTATGCATTTGCTTTTTAAATAATTTTTTGTATCTGTTAGATTTATCTGCAAGATTCCAAAGCATGGACATGTATTGTCGAGTCAGCTGTTTCTTTAACTTACTGCGCTTAGAAATTGCGTACATAATTCATAGCGCTGCAAAATCCACGGTTGAGCAGATCAAACTCGATGTTTTTTTTGTTTTTTTTTGATCAAGCCTTTTACCTGGGAGAATACAAATTATGGGAACCCTTCTGGGTTGCTAGAAGTACTATGGTGAATATGAGGAAATTGCAGGACAGACACTAGAGGTTTTTGTTTACAGTTAATCCATATAGATGAATTTCATACCTCTATTATGGCTTCCAAATGCACCATGCATTTATGGACCGTTCTTTAACATCTGGTATCCATGCCAGACTTAAGCCTGAAGATCTTGCATGTCTGTTTTCTCAAGTCAATCAAGCGTGGCCTCATTGACTCCTCTTAAGTGATCTTGGATTGTGACGGTCACGAAGGGTAGCCGACTTTCCCCAGTTCTGCTTCCGTGGTCCTTTGCCAGCCATTCTTTATTCCCATAATTAAAATCTCGGAAATGCAGTGCCCAGCACTGCGCTCCTGATTTGTCTTCTTGCCGGTGAGCCCGCTGAACCTTAAAACGAGATGGGCGTCATATCAGATATCGTTCATAAAAGTCTTGCTCCAGATTTTCCCGGAATTTTTAATTGACAGCAAGCAGTTGGTAGTGCTTTGTGTAGTAGAAGGTGCTAACTGTCTCTCTGAAGGCTTTGGCGCTTAGCAGTGTGTTTAATTATAAAGGTACTTTAGCTGTATTGTTACTTGAACGGGGGCAGTTTAGACACATTTCTCTTGAATGAACTGTCGCTAACGTACACAGGTGGCCTGCGGCAGAGGTCTTTCATGCTTTCTGTAAGGCCAGCTTCTCCAGCTATCCCTGGGAGATCCCTGACTCCTCTTCTTCTGACCTCCAGGGGCTCCATGGTCTGTTGTGGGCATCAGGACAGCAACTGTCTTGTTAGCTCTGGTTCTGCGTTCATATATAACTAACTCGCCACCAGTTTAATTTCCCCATTGATTTGTACATATGGCACACAGGTGTTTGCTGCCAGTTAAAACTACTTTTATTATGCTTATATGTCATTTTTGGAATTAAAATCCATTTCACCATTTTTTCTTGAAAATTCTTTCAGTCTTCCAAAAGCATTTACGACAAAATTCTGAAGTATACCGTTCATATTTGATTTATTTTTGCCTTAACAGTCTCCTGTGGTATATCATTAAGACTCTGTGCCTTGTCTAGAAAATTTGCAGTGGCTTACTCTGATCGATACTTGCCACAAGTACTAGACCTTTATGTGGGGCATCAGGGTTTAAAAGGAACTTCATTTATCTTAACATTTTTCTTTATTTCTTTGACAAGTATCTTGCATGCTTCACATCAGAAAGCGCAGATGATAACCTGGAGGTAAGTGTAAAGCGTTAGGGTTTTGCTGAACCACTTAGAATTCTGTTAGAATTCTAGTGATGGATATAGAACACTGAATACAAAAAGGATGCGTCTTATATTGTAGTCCCCTAAATTTTGGATGTAATGACTTTACAGCATGTGTTCAGATTTGCTTTTTTTGTGCCTCATTGTCTTACTGGAGAGCAGAGTCACTGTGCTTGGGTAAAATCTGATATCCTTCTGCTTTGTTTGAAGTTCAGACCTTTCGATGAGCACGGTCATACAGGTTTGAAAGGTTTCTGAAAAGCTAGACGTGAGAGGTGGCCACTTCAGAAACATTACACTCCGCAGTTATTCCCGGTCTTCCGCCGTTACGAGAATTTTGGCATGTAGAATATTCGTCCCCTGGGTTTGTCAAAAGAGCCAGCTTTTTCTTTTTTTTTCTTTTTTTGAAGTGTTATATGTACTGAGATAGATGCGCACGATGTACGTAAACTAGCTTCCTGTCACTCTGCATCTAAAAAGGTACAGATGTGGTGATGGGTATGGCAATTCTCCATAATATAGCTAAACATCTGTCATCTGAATGGCATCTACAGAAACATCAGTCCAGTCAGTTGCTGTATCAGGGTATTTCAGGTTTGAGGTAATCTTCCTGTAGCATTGTTCATACCTTAGGCTGCAGCAGACAGCCCATCTGTTATCACAACCTTATGTTCACATTGCCTTATTCTGAGTTTCTGGCTACTAAATATAAACCTTCTCCGTAAACTGCTGTCGATCGGATATTTATATGGTTATTTTTAGTCTCTAAAAAAACGCTTGGCACTCTTTAAAATGCAAGCAGGTACCCACCTCAGATGACATAAAGCCATTGTACTGTTTCCGCTGTGAGATAAGCAGTCTAGTTTAGGATATTAGTCAGCATAATGGAGATTTTTGCTAAATATAGGACCCTTTTGAGGGAACTGTCATATACATAATTGATAAATCTCTTTACTGAACTGTTTTTTTTATTTTCTTCTATTATTCATAAATACATTTGGTATCTTAATCCTAAAGACTAGGATATTTGTGGACCCAGGTTGATGAAAACAGTGATCTTACTTGGAATCAGCTCTGAATCTGAATTGCTATATGATAATTCGGGCCAGATCTATTAATGTGGAAGTTTTAAAAATCTTTAATTAAAATGGTAATACATTGGCAACTGTGGATATAATTATGCATCTGTTTTATTTCCTTACTATATAGCAATGATATTCTAGACACTTATATGAAATTATTCAAATGTAAATGTTGAACACTATTGCATATTTAATAATATTATTGAATGTTTATGGTAAACTGGAAGTACTGCATTGTATCCAGATGTGTGAAATGTCTTGATTCAGAAAGTAGTATGGTACTGATGAACTGAGATAGATCAGAATATTTGTGGGATTAGTATATATGGAGAACAATCCTGATCATCACTGAGATGTTTCCCAGAAATTAAATATGTATAAGTTATAGTTCGAGGGTGTGAAAATGAAATGTGCCCAAATCACCCTTTTTCTGTAATTCATTTGTCAAAATAAGTTATACAGTTATTCTAAGGAAACATTAGAAATTTAAATAACTACAGAGCTTCCCTCTTTGTGAATATGTACCAGATCTTGAACAACAGAGAATTGCCTTTAAATTGCCTGTTGTTGCCTTTCTGTTTTTAATGTATTTTTGATTTTAGTGGTACAAAATAGCAACAGAAGACATATCAAAACTAGTTCAGACTTTTTAATTAAACAAAATGTATTAAATACTTTGGATAATAAAGAACGAGTCAGATTTTAACAGGTAAAGCTTTAAGAGAGATAAAAGTTTTTTATCACTATTTTAAAGATAACTTCTTTTTAAAAAACTTGTGCTTGAAATCTAACTTTCCGCACGGATCCGTCACTGTTCCTCATGCAAACAGTTAAAACTGGCTTGACCTTTTTTTATTTTCAAGTGCATTTTCTGTGCATATGTTTAAGATTCTGCCCACCGCCTTGTTAACAATACTCAGTGCAGTTTTTCCCTAAACGCTAAATGCAGCCACTTTCACAGTGGTTTTCTTCGTTTCTCTATCAAATCACAGACATATAATGTGGATGCTGAAGCTTAACACGCCAACCCGACTGTCCGTAAATATGCCTCCCTGGTTGTCCGAAAGCTCCAGTGTAGCCGGGTAAATTGAAAACCAAGACTTGGATTTTTATTTTGTTTTTGTGTAATAGTGATTTTTCTCAATTGTTAACATTTCGGAAGAATCAAACCTCCTTGGGGTGTAAGTTCACAGTAACGGGGATTTTTTTTATTTATTGTGGATTCTGTTCAATTGTTTGCCATTATGAAATGAGATTTTTGCATAATTAAGGTCAACATAACATCTCATGACAAAACATGTAAATAAAAAAGATACATGCACACATTGAGACTTAAAGTCCTGTTCTTTTTTTAGGTGTTTCATGTCAGCACTGCTGTTTTTATTGCCTAAATAGGTCAAAGGTTTGTTTTAGCATATTAAATCTTTATATATATACATATACAAATACATTTTAATTATTAATCATACTGACTGGAGCAAGATATCCTTTTGTTTACCATTTTATTTCTTTAAGAAATCCACACTGTGTATAACAATTTCACCATGTTGTATTTTAAAAGGAAATGTTAATAAAATAATCAAGTTGGAAGCAGACTTTTTTCTATAATATATGCAGACGTGCAAGTCATGTGACAAACTACATATGTGTCGTTTTGTGTCAGGGACATTTTTCAAGTTTAAATGTATGATGCCAGTAACATGCATTATTTAAGTGTTGCAACCACCCATGTTGTTAGCTGGGATAAAGGATGAAAAACAGCAGCGGTAGAATATGAGAATTGGCCGTAGGAACACAAATATCAGACAGACAAGAGTTTCTTGATTTCCATTATACATGTAATTGATTAAGCCTGACAAAGACTGGGTAACAGCATGCAGTAGGATGCAAGTAAAGAAACTGCATTCCACACAATTATTTTCTGTACACTGGATCACAAAGAAACATGTCCAGAGAATAATAAAAAGCGGCTACTCCTTATATGGAAATGCATTTCCCCTTTGATTGTGCCTATTGAATTAATAATACTGATCAACACCCAATGCATTTTTCAGATTAATTAGAACAAATGTCAGCACACATTGTGGATATTCAAGGCTAAGGTTGTAAGATGCATTCCTCATAGGGAAAATCTATGAAAGGAACAAAAATAAACTCAATTATATGAATAAACCTGCACTTAGGCATTCACATGGAAATGCATTTCAGTCACAGCCCACCAGCTTCGGGACATTCCTGCTGTAAACGCTCAGTGGTTCTAATACCAATTTGTACAAGAGATCATGAAGCACATATCATCCACCACTTTGCTCCCCATCTTGCACT